GTACTTCCCACCACAGTGGCCCATTCTTGTGACAGTCTGTGCTGTACTCCATGTTCTCCATCCACACCGTGATTCAGAGCCGTCGTCGCCGCGTCTCTAGTTTTCCTTAGTCACAGGCTCACGTTCACATGCAGATGAGGGCGGTCGAAAGCCCCATGACTTGGCTCCCGCTCATCTTAATCTTCAAAATGACCACCTTACCTTTTCATACTTTAAAGAGTGTGTTTGCAGCAGATTTGACCAGTGAAACGTGCCATCTCGTTTCTTGACTGCTGCTTTCATGGGCGTGGATTGCAGATCCAAGTGCAATGAAACTGTTGGCAACTTCAATCCTTTCTCTATTTATCAGGATGCTGTTCATTGGTCCAGTTGTAAGGAATTTTGTGTTCTTTAGATTAAGGTGTAATCCATACTGGCTACTGTAGTCTCTAATCTTTATTAGTGTTTCAAGTCTTTGGTATCTGGATCTAATTGCCATTGATCATCGTTGTTTGAGGGGATGGAAATGTAGACTTTTAGCTCCTTGCTTCATTTTATGCTTCGAATCATACCTTCTAAGTTATCTGAGGGGTATATCTGTCATAAATCTGGTTTCTACGATCCATCTTATGAACCTGGTTTCTGGAAGAAAACTGGAAGGACATTCAAATCCCTTCGATTGCCTACAACTAGATGAAAGGACAGGAGTCCTGGTGGTATAGTGGGTTACTTGTTGGGCTAACTGCCAGGTCGGCAGTTTGAAGCCACCAGCAGGTCCATGGGAGAAACCTGAGGCTTTCTGCTCTGAAAAGATTTAGAGTCTTGGAAATCCACAGGGCGTCCTGCTGTCCTATGAGCTACTACCAGTGGAACTGACTTGATGGCGGTGAATTGTTTGTTTGAGATCAAAGGACATGCTAGAACCTTTCCACGTAATATCCACATTAAAAAGCTTCTGAGCTGGGTTAATCTTCTATAGGGATTCCATATAAAGTAGAAGAGTCCTTCACACTGAGGCACACCCCCAGACCCAGGCTATCGAGTAGAACCCTTTACCGTTTGTTTCCGAACAGCTGGTGTCCACTGTGTCCGATCAGAGCCTTCTCCCCACCCACACCTTCTCCTACAGCCCTGATGTAAAGAGCAAGCCCCGTGCAGTGTTCTCACCTAAGGATTTGAAGACCTCCGGGCTAGCGTACTTCCCATCAAAGTAGACGGTGTTCGTCTGCGAGTCAAAGGCACGGCACATTCTGATGAACACCACCTCCAGAGAACCTGGCAAGGCAGACACGGTGCCGATTAGTGCAAGTGAGGGCGTTCCTGCGAGGGCACCCACACACAGACACCGTGGGAGGTAAGTCTGCAGCTTAGCGAGCAGGCTTTTGGTCTCGTGAACCAACTATCCTCAAAGGGAAAGGCATTCGGCGGTAATTGAAGACTATGGTGCCCAAGCTGAGGACACTTTGACAGGGGAGGATTGAGTTCCATAGATACCTCCATGGCCCCATTTTGCCTTACCTGGAAAAGTCTCCAAGTTGCTAGGGAAACATCCATGTATCATCGCGTTGAAAAACCCTCACCCCAAACCAACCAAAACAGGACTAGCTCTCTGAGTTCGACCAACACCCTTCATCATAACAACTTCGTAATGGCCAGCGGGCCTGGGGTGCAGAGAGGACACAGAGACCAGGGCAAAGTGGGGAACTGCAGGCCTCATTCAAATGACTCACTTCGCTCAGGGTGGAGCACAAGGGAGGAGCTGGTTCTTGAAAGTAGCATTAAAAAAAAAAGACCGAGTACAGAGTTTCTGTTCCGAGAAGCCCGAGTGATTCTCATCGGAGGAAAATCATCCCCAAGACCACCCTCCCCAAGCGTTTCTTTCACAAGTGGGTGAAAGGCGCTTGGGAGGAGACCACAAGATTTACCTGCGGAAGCACCCACCTGCTTTCAGAAGCACGATCTGATCATTCTGACACAGTTCCATAAAGCCATCAATGCGCTTGGCAAACTCCACCACATACTGGATCGCCTCTGTGATCTTGATGGCACACAACTGCCACATCACCTCCCGCTGCTGGGGAAGAGGCAGACACCGAGAGACGCGGTTACCCCCAGCCCTGGCCCAACCGGTCTTCCTAGTCCTGGCTCTGTGAGACCGGCGCTGGGCCAGGGGCTCAATCAGGCTCGAGGATGAGGACAATAAAGGCCAAACCCAGGGCCGGGCAGGGCCACCTGGGCCAGGAAAGAGCACAGCAGCATTGTCTCTGGTTTGAGGGGTTTTAATGGAGGAAGGGAAAGAAAGGGGAGACCGTTCAAGTTCCTGGGCACTTATTACGAACTGGTTTGCTTCATGACTTTCTTGTCTCCCTTTATTTTCGCAAGACCCCTTTTCTATTTTACAGAGGGGGGTACTAAAGCTCACAACAGTTTCACAACTAGGAGGTAGACGAGCTATCATTTAGGCCCTCGTGTGTCTTACTCTGAAATCCCACGGCAAACGTTTTGCTACCTCAAACTGCTGGCTTGACTTCCCTTTAGCAGCCCTGATGACAGAGGGCTACGGGCTGGGCTGCTAACTGCAAGCTCAGTCGTTTGAACCCATTAGCTGTTCTGCGGGAGAAAGACCAGGCTTTCTACCCCACGAAGAGTGACAGTCTCGGAGATCCACCGGGGCAGTTTGACCCTGTCTTATAGGGCATTATGAGTCGGCATCAACTCGATGGAAGCGAAGTGTGTGTGTGTGTGTGTGTGTGTGTGTGACTATGGCTATTGGCACTGCATGTTCTCCTAGGGACAAATCAACTGATGTGCTGCTAGTCCCTCACCTGTCCTGTTTAATTCCTTGTATAAGCTCACGCTCCATTCAGTGCGACACGGTGATCTCAGTTGGTTGCCTTGCGCGCTTGTTTCTTTAATCTCAGTGGAAGGCTATTTCCACCCACCTGGGGGCGGTGGCAGAAACACTGATGGAAAAGCCAGTGGTCAGTGCTGGTAGTGCGACAGTTGAGTGCTTGGCTGCGAATCCGCCAGCTGGTGGTTTGCTCCCCTGCAGCAGACCCACAGGAGAAACGCCTGGTGTTCTGCTTCAGGCAATGACCGCGGTCTAGAACACCTTAGGGGGCGGGTCTGCTGGGTCACCTGGGGCTGGTGTCACGCAACCGCAGTCACTGATTCCAGTTTGGAAGTTTTCACTCTCCAGCCATGTGCCGAGGGGTCTTCAGTGTCCACACCGGTAAACGTGGACACACCTTTAGTCTCCCTGGGACTTGAGTTTCTGCGTGCGTAAAATATAGGAGAGGCTTCCAAACGCACTGCCATTGAGTCCGCTCTGACTTACAGGGACCTCAGAGGACAGAGGAGAGCTGCCCCCGTGGGTTGCTGGGACTTTTAAATCTTTACAGGAGTAGACAGCCTCATTTTTCCTGAGGAGCAGTTGGTGGGCTCAAACCGCTGATCTTGTGGTCAACAGCGCAGTGTGTAGCCCACGACGCCACCAGGGCTCTGAATCTAGGTAGTCTCCAAGGGCCTTTTCAACCTTGAACTCGGTTGAGGGGAAAATGGCAACAGACTTCTTCACCAGTGACAGAATGGCCAGTTATAAGCTCCCCATCTCGATTCTGGCCCTCCCCTACCTCTGCTAGCTTAGTGTCTTATTGAGCAGAGGGTTAGAAGAAGGTAAAGAGCAACCTTATTTTTACAGTCTCACATTGCTAGGTTCAGATTGGAGTTAAGACTGTCGTTATGATCCGGCCTTTTAAAACACACCGTCTTTAAGAACCCCCTTCTTGTTCACTTTGGGAACCATGGCGCCAAGATGATGCTGTGGTTCCAGCATCCTGATCTAACACCCGCCATTGCGATACTGGGACAAATCCCAATCCCCTAATCTTTCGGAAGGCTGCTTCATCTGGTCCCTTGTGGACAGATGGCGGGAGAGATGGGCAGACTTGAAAACCCAATGGAACCCACTCATGGTCACTGGGAGTTCACGAGCAGGTCTGTCGGGGGATGGAAAGGCCCAAAGCCATCCCTCATCAGCTCTGCGCCCACCTCCTCAACCGAAGGCTGGCTTCTCGCGAAAAGCCCTCTTTCTTTCATGTGCTGCAGATGCGTGATCAACTCTCCAGCACCCACACAAGCGTCCCACCGTTCCCTCCCCCTAGGTGGAAGCCCTGCGATCATACCTTGTTTTGATAGTTTTCAGTCTCCTCCTGCAGGAAGGTCTGCCACGTTATTTGCTGAAGCTCTTCCCTCAAGTATTGGCAAGTCTCCAGGTGTGACTTGGATATATTCTGTGCCAGGTGTTCTAAGGAGGAAGGAGAGGAGAGCACACACCTGGTCAGTCAGGTGTCATGGGACCATCAGTCAGCTCCATCACACATGTGCCGAGTCTAAAGGCCTGAGCTATTTGGAGTGCTGTACTAAAGCAGTGCTGTGCTAATTTCGTGGCATAGTTGGGCTGTGAACCACCAGGTGGGCAGTTCGAAGCCGCCAGCCATTCCCACGGGTGAGAAAGATGGGGCGTTTGCCTCCAGGAAAGAGTGACAGTCTCAGAGACTCACAGGGGCAGTCCGACCCTGTCCTATAGGGTCGCTCTATGGGAATGACTTTTGAACCTCTGCTCCATGGCAATGACTTTTGAATGAGCACTAATTAGAAGCTCTTCTGTACTTTGGAGCGTGGGAAAGGAAGGTAGAGCATCTGGAGACTCAACATTTCACAATAAGGCTCGGTGACTTCGAGGACCCTCCTGGCCTTGCCCTTGTTAGGTGCCACACACAGTTGCATTGGAAGGACTATATCGGGATGCTCAGCACAAGGCCAGAAGTTTGAAACCCCCAGCAGCTCCGAGAGAGAAGGCGGCTTTCTACCCCCGTAGAGAGTTACAGTCTCAGAAACCCGGCTGCACAGTTCTACCCTGTCCTACAGGCTTGCAAGGAGTCGGCATCCACTCGGTGGCAGTGGATTTGTTTTTGTGGGTTTAGGTGTGTATGGGGAATGACTGACAGGGTTTCTTCTCGGCATGGTTCTGACGACACATCTGTTACATACATGATCTGGGAAGATTAATGGAGAGATGGCGAAACGGTACTGGCTGATGATGGTAGCTCTGTAGTTCTCATTTCCGGCGGACAGGAGAGCAAGTAGTACTGAGGGTCTGCCACACGGGGATGCCAGGGGTCAGAATGGACTGAATGGCGACCAGCTACAGCTGTCACCTGGCTAAGGACAGTGTGGGGCTCAGGGGTGACTGGTGGAGCCAAACTTCGAGGTCTGACCGTCAGCGCTGCCACTTCCTAGCTGTGTGACTGGTAAGCGAGTGACCGAACCTCTCTGTACTCAGATCTCATTCCCAGACCAAGGACAAGGGCACCTATTTACAGGGCTGTTGTGAGCATCGCGCCATCCGAGCAGCTCGGCAGGGAGCGTTCTGTAGCATGAGGTATACAAGCATCAGTATACTTATGTACAAGGGACTTGACGCTATTAAAGAAATAGCTGTCCAAAAAAGTTTTATTTTTTTAGGAACTTATCGTCCAGTGGATGTGAATGGACACCCTGGGTGGGCTGGGGGCTGGGGCAGTTAAGGACAGGAGATGGTTGGTAATAAAACCGAATCCTAAAAGAGAAAGGGGCAAATAACACATGCCAGTCGGAATAGGAGAGATCAACGCTGGCTTGGTGGCAATAGGGGTGGGCCTGAGGGTTAAGGGCTTGGCTGCTCAGGACACGGTGAGTACCCTGTAAAGAGCTGCAGGCCCCCAAACCCTCTGTAGGGTTGCTATGAATTGGAATGGGTTGGATGGTGGTGGGTTTGGTTTGGGGCAGGAGAACAACACTTGAGGAACCTGGCGGTGTGGAGGATGTGGTAGGCAGAGGCCACGGGTGTGGAAAGGGGGGCTAGTCCCACTGAGGGGGTGCATGTACAGAGGAGGGGGCAGACTGGCTGATGTGCCCCGGGGCAAAACACACCTGGGTGGGTGAGAGTTCAGGTCACAAAGGATCACGAGGGTCAGAGAGTCTGGACTTGTGACAACAATGGAAACCTGTAGGGATTCTCAGTGGGAAGCGGCGGGTTGGCAATGATTTCTGGGGGCTACAGGACAAGTAGTTTCCTGCGTGGTGGGTCCGCGCAGGGGCAGGCTGGAGGCAGGGGGACCAGTAAGAAGGTTGTTGGGACCTAGCCAACAACTAGGAGCAAGTTGGCAACAATTGGGATCGATCAGAAGGAGAAATACAACACGTTTTTTAAAAAGAAGAATTGGCAGGGTTCCGTGAACATAACGTGGTCCCCCTTCCTCTCCTCTCCCGGAATGATGACTCCATTTCTCTGGTCTTGACCACACGATAAAGAAGTCATTTAAACAAATGATGCTGGATTTCTTTGCTCAAACAGAGGCAGTCTTGTGCTGGGGGTGGGGAGGTGGGGGGACAGAGCAGGCTCACCTAGATGGAGCTGGAAACTAGACTCTCCTTAGAGACCCAGAAACACAACCCGCCTTCACAGCCCCACTTGGCAACACACAGACACCGAGACCACATAGATACAAACGGAAGTAAAATGCAAGTAAGAGGCAAAAAGCGAGGGAAGAAACCGAGGCAGAGTAAGGGGAGGGGGAGGAAGAAGCTGGAAAAGCTTGAGTCTGAGAACCAGTAACATTTGGGGAAAGAGGAGGGGAATAAAGACAAACATATTGTGGATTAGAGACTCAAAAGCAAGTGTGTAAATAAGGTTGTGAGCCATCGCTTATCAAAAGACCTCTACTTTTGAGAAGAGATGTTTTTAGAGCACAAGCCAATTTTCACTCAGATTCAGTGGAAGAACGGCAAGCGTGGGATTCTGAGAATGTTCATCTTTATGGGAGCAGGAAGTCCCATCTGTCTCTCTCCAAGTAGCTCCAGGGTTTGAACTAATGGCCTCGCAGTTAGCAGCCTAATCCACTGCACCACCTTAGTTTAGCTTTTAGCAGGATTGATGCAATGTGTGCATGCTACCAGCAGAGGGCAGTGGCTGCATTCTCACCAATAGCTACCAAGCCTTTGATTGCAGTTCACGGTCAATACGGCTAGTGCAAATTTTTGGACACTTTGTTATTTTTAAATCTCTATTTCAGCAAAGAAGAATATGTGAAGTCCGAGTAAAAGTGAGGGTAAGAAGTGAGTATGATTTCTCAGAGAAACATCCAGGGATAGTGAAACACCTGGGAACAGGAATTATGGCATCGTTTTTGGCCTAAACTCAGTCGATCCCTTACTTTGTGACCACACTAAGTTACTTCGCCTCCTTGACTAGGATTATGTACTTCATCCATCAAAGCAGGGTTACTTGAGCTGTAAAATCCTGGCTTCTGTCTTAGCCACAGATTTCCATGATGAGGAGGAATTTAGACAACATCTGGTCCAAACTCTCCTCATGTTACAGATAACAAGGAACATTTGTAGGCTTTAAGGAACCCTGATGGCACCCTGGGTTTGGCCTTGGCTGCTAACCAAAGGGACAGCGGTTTAAACCCACCAGCTACTCCATGGGGAAAAGATGAGGCTGTCTGCTCTCTTACAGCTTTACTGCCTTGGAAACTCTATACAGTGAACCCTCGCCACTTCGCGCTTCGACTTCCGCGGCTTCACTCTATCACGGTTTTTGCGTAACAGCGCGTGCTCTGTCATTACTGCCACTGATTGGCTCATACTGTACACGCTTGATACCATAAATAATATAATAAATAATAAATGGTAATTGTAACGTCCAAAATGTTTTACTGTATTTTCCCTTTTTCATTTAATAAATGGGGTAATACGAGTGTAATGGTGACTAAAGGGTGTTTTTTCATGTCCTCTATGCTCTAACTACGAAAATATTTGATTTACAAATAAGGAATCCTACTTCGCGGAATTTCATTTATCACGGTAGGGTCTAGAACCGATTAACCGCGATAAACGAGGGTTCACTGTATAGAGGCATGATGGGTTGGAATTGACTTAATGGTAGAGGGTTTGGGAGGTAGCATCTGCTATGGCCTCTATTTGATCTCTTTATACTATATGCATAGTATAAAATAATATATTTATTAGATGTATCACTCAGCCCTCCCAACAACCCTAAGTAGTCATATTAACTCTATTGCACAGGTGAGGAAACAGAGGCCAAAGGGGGTTACGGTGTCACAGCTGGTGAGTGGCAGAGCCAGGTCTCAAACCCAGGTTAGCTCTAATCTCTGCTCATTGGCTTAGGATATGGAGACGGAGATTCCACCGCATGCATCCCAGGTCTGCACCCCAAACAAGGGGCCTGGGGGCAGAGTGGGTACATGTCGGGCTGCGACCCGCAGGGTCGGCAGTTTGAAATCACCAGCAGCTCCTCGGGAGAAAGACTGGGCTTTCTACCCCCACGAACAGCTTACAATCTCAGAAACCCACAGGGGGTCACCGTGGGTCAGCAGTAACTTGATGGCCGGGAGTTTTGAGAGACCGCAAACAGCAACGCTAGGACCGCAATCCACAGAAACTGAGTTCTGGTGTCCGGCTCTGCCCATACACCGGCTGTCTCTCCTGCACGAGGCTTGAGTTTTCCACGACGGCAGCGAGCAGAGTTAAATTTTGCTCGGAGTGAACCTGTTTACCTGGAAACGCACAATTCTTCTAAAATGACTCAATGGGGTTGCACACCGAGGACCAAAATTCGTCGTAAGTTGCATCGTGGAAATGCGTCTCCACAACAAGGCCTGGCTGTAGGCACTGCCACAGAATGACGGGCCGGAGCGCAAGATCTGTGAGCCTGCCAGGCCTTTCAGATTGCGCAATAGGTTTCCTTTGTTTACAACTCACATAAAACACGGAGCCTTAAATTGGGTTGAGGGTTCCACTTGGAGGCAACACCAGGGGGCGTGGGGGTGGCTTCGAAGAAGAAGCGGTGGAGTCTCTGGACACCTGGCTACCTGTAGCTCACTGAACACCTCGGTGTGTGTCAATGGAGGAGAGAGAATTGGAGCGCAATCGGATCCTCTGCAGGTATGCTCTAGTTTCATTTTGGGTTTGGGGCTAATCCCAGGGATGAGCTGATTTTACTCATCCTGGAAAATGCCGCTATATGTTAGATTTAGAAGGACGTAGAGCAAATACGAGGGCCCGGGGAGCCCAGACGGCACTGGAGCTGACAACCGAGGACCAACCTGGTGAGTGTGCATGGGCCAGGGGGATTGGCCTCCGCCGCTGCTGGCCCTGCTCGCTTGGGTACTAGTGCACCCTAAGCCTAAAGTGCCCTGTGCATGGACCACGCGCAGGGTTGGACATGCGGCAAGAGGTCAGGAAAGGCCCACTTAGAATCACAGTAAGGTGGAAGCAAACCAGTGAGCCAAGTCATTTTTCACAGTCTCATGTGAGCCTTTCACGAAATCCTTATTTAATCCTGAAAATTTTACTTTCATTCCAGGGCTGCTGAAGGGCTCAGCCAACCAAGATTTCATGACAAAAATGGAAGGTTTTTGTTCTAGTTCGAGAAAAAAAAAAAAAGAAAAAGAAAAAGAAGAGGAAGAAGAATCAAGCCCAACTCTGCTCAGCTTGACTTCTAGTTCAGAGGCTTCTCTCTTAATCAAAAGAGCTGGGCTACACCTTTAATGCCGTTCAGTCGTTAAAGAGCGGGTGGAAAATGTCCCTGCTCTGGAGGATTTAAATTTAGACCCATGAAAAGGTGCTTGTGTAAAAACCATAAAGAACATTCCAATTTGTTCTATTTGGAGAAAGGTTTAACGGGACATATACATTTTCACTTAAAAAAAGTTTAATGGGGTGCCTAGCCACCGCTCTCAAATTGCTTCTGACTCCTAGTGACCTTTGCAGGACAGAGCAAGACCGCTCCAAGGGTTTCCAAGGTGGACTCTTCATGGAAGCAGATTGCCCGGCATTTCTCCCGCTGAGCTGCTGGTGGGTTCGAACCGCCTATATTTTACTAGCAGCAGAGTGCTTTAACCACTGTGCCACAAGGGTGCCTTTTGGGGTTCGGAGGTGGCGAAATCACCATAGGGACCATGACAGTTATTTCTCTGAACTCATGTTTTCTGTGCTTCCGTCAGAATCTGCCGGCTCCCTTCCATCTGAAGCCTTCGTCTCCTTGTCTTAACTTAGCACCTGATTAATTACAGTGTCCCACAGGACTCGAACCTTATGCGAAGAATCACAAAGGAGGAGAAGTCACATCAGGAGGAGCTCTAATCTGAACACTGGAGAGGTCCTTACCAAAGTCTCCTTAGTAATTGTGCAGTCCTCAGACGCCTTGCATAGACAGTTCAGCCACTCATTGCTATTGAGTAGAATCCAACCCATAGTGACCTGTAAGGACAGTGTACATCTGCCCATATGGGTTTATAAGGCTGTCACTCTACGGGGGTAGAAAGCCTCATCTTTCTCCTGAGGAACAGTGAGTGGTTTCAAACCGCTGACCTTGTGGTTAGCAGCCCAATGCGCCACCCAGGGTCCTTACATATATAGCAGAGAACATGAACACAACTTCGTTGGATGGAAGTGTTCCACTCTCTGTGTGACCCACATGTCGAGGTCACATTTCCCAAGCAGCAGCCACGTCCGGCAATAAGGAAATTCTGCTTCTGTTTCTGGCCTATTGAGTGAGCCTGCAGTGAAGCGTGAGTATCCACCACCACCACTCACAGGCACGTAAAGAAGCCAGCGCTGCTTGCCCGTCTAGCGTGGCCAGGCTGCCCTCCGAAGTAGCGCGGGTTGTTTCAGACCACTGCAGCCACAGTCCAGGGAGGACCGGAAAAAGGAAGCCCCCTGGATTTTCGGTTCCTAGTGCATTTAAAAGTCAAGTGTGCAAAACTAGCGTTGTGAGAGAAGTTTGCCGCGTTGTGAGCATTGTCAGAATTCAGAGACACGGAGGGAGCCTCCGCGTGCTGTTGGAAACGGTGCTGGAAGACGTGCTCAGCACAGACGAGGTGCCCGTGCGTGCCAGCGGACGGGCAGCTGAGGGGAGAGAAGTGAGCCCAACAGCTACCAGTTGTACATCTAGGGCCGAATTTCCGAGCCAGGGATGTAGACATTGATACAAGAGGGTTCTGTGTACGTTCACCATTTTACATGTCTGTAAGAAGCTCTCCAAAGGAGCTGGGAATCCGGGCTTTTATTGGTTATTCTCCACACTTTAAATTTCAGCGACTGCTTCAATAAGCATATAAACTCTGCACAAGTTACAAATAAATAAATAAAAATCTTCCGTGGACCAGATTCAAGGAGCCCTGGTGGAGTTGTGGGCGATGCACTGAGCTGCGAACTGCAAAGTCTGCAGTTCAAACCCACCAGGGGCTCTGTGGGAGAAAGACGAGGTTCCCTACTTCCTTCACGAGTTATCGTCTCAGAAACCCAAAGGGGCCCCTGTCCTATAGCGTTACAGTGAGTCAGAATCACATTTCGTGAGCTTGATTTTTTTTTTTTTAAAGAATGTATGAAGTGGATTTCATTCGATGGCTGCTGTTTTGTGACCCGAGGCATACGCACCACCTGGAAAATAAATAACTCAGTACCTAGTGCAATTCACACGGGCATCCCCTCAGCGTCACACTTGCTCTGGAATTTCAAGGATGCTTTAAGGTCACCCCCCACCCCACCCCCAGCCTCTGACACAGAGAGGTCAGTCCAGGAGTGGAATGAACCATGACAACCGCGGACAGTCATAGGGGACAGGGCAGGATGGTCCTGGGTGGGGTGGGGGTGAGGCAAATGGCGAAGATAAATTTCCCTTCTAGTTGCAGCATTTTAAGAACTTGGCTCTTGAGCCGAAAGTGGAAGGCATCCTATCCCCTTTACTGCAAGAGGCATGGATGCACTCCTCCCCCAACCCCCCCAAACACACACACACACACACGCACGCACGCACGCAGCCAGGAGTGGCAGTGCCACTTACCTAACTCTGCCATGGACACGGTGGGGGAAGTCTCTCCGTTGGTGAAGGAACAGTAGGGAAAGAAGCCCGATGCTGGTGTGTAGTCACATATCGGCTCTGGTTTGATACCATTGATGTCCAGACCCGACTGGTCCGGCGAAGGCTGGATGTCCAGGTAGAAGCTGCTGACCGCAGAGTCTGCCTTGCTGCCCTCGGGGGTGTGCCCGTCGATGTAGTTGCTGAGGTCATCGTGCAGGTCCGTCAGCCCGTTGGCCGAAAGGTTGTAGGTGGGCGTCAGTGGCTCGGCCTCCCCGGGCTGCTGCTGGTGGTCGCGCTGCTGCTGCTGCATCCGGTGCTTCTGCACTTCGGCGTACAAGCTGTCTCGCTGCTTTTTCGACATGCGGCCAAATTTGACGGCTGGAAGAAAACACAGTCAAACCGCGCCGTAGACCACCCACTTCCCTTCATCGGCCTCAGCCAGTCGCAAGCCAAAGCCTCCTGCCCCCCAGAGACGGACAGGGTGACGCTGCAGGTGGGCGCTGTCCTGCATCGTGCAGGTAGCCCCACATCTGGTAGCCAGAACACCCCACAAGAACGCCCACGGCAATGCCCACCCATGTCACGTACGCCAAGGTGTCACGTACGCGTTCACTGTCTCTCCATGTAGTTAGCTCACACTGCCTCTTTCCCTTCTTAACGGTCAGCCCATGGGTCCATGCGTGCACAGATCATAGGGATGGATTGAAGTACAACCCCCACTCTCACGCAGTTCCCTACTCTGTACATTCAATGCATTTCTTCCCATTTCAATCATGAATGCGGAGGCCTTATTGCGAGACCCGACCGGACTGAACCAGTCTTGGTCACTTCTGGAATGAGCTCGCAGAATCTACTGGACTTAGGTCAGGGTCAACCCAGGGTCCACCGTTCAAGGTCACTTTCTGTTGATATTTGTTAGCCTCAAGGAAAAGGATCCTCAGAGATTTGGAAAGGCTGAGCCCTGTGTGAGACATGGTGGGTGAGCTTACGGTGTGGTGCTTCTCCTTGGCAGGCAAGGGGGCTTCTAAAGGTGCCGAGTGAAGTGGAGAGAGAGGAGAAGGGGTGTCTCCAGGAGATCAGTGAGGCCTGCTCAGTTTCCTCCATATTTCTCGCAGAGCAACGTCGAGGGAACTCTCTGCTTATTTCCTTTCCCCAAGGGCATTTCCCGAGCCACCCCGATCGCAAAGAAAAATAAAAAGGATTTCCTGGTCTGAATCCTCCCACCAATTCATTCCATTTCTCCCCGAGACTCTGAATACATAGGTAATGCCTCTGCAAGAGAGACTGACTTCTAACAGATGATGGGGAAGATAAGAATGGAACGTATTTATTGTATCTAATAGATCATTAATAAACCGCTAACGGATCTAACTAGGGTATCTAATCGATGACGGATAAATAGAGCACTGTGGATGAACTCACCCACACGACTGTCACACAGTCGTATGACAAGTTATGTCCAGGAGGCAGGACAGATGGAAGGGCGTGGGGTGGGGCAAGCCAGTGGCAGCTGGTGGCTTCTTGGCATGCCAAGGAGGATGGCTGCCTTTTCACACAGGGAGCGGGAAGCTGGGAGACGGGTCACTTTGGGAGCTCCACAATTCAGGTGACAGTTGGAGACACCTTTGGGTGGGGGTGGGTGGACAGCAATCAGGCTGATAGGGGCCCGAGATTTAGGCCTGTGCTTTCGCCAGTCCCCACACTCACTCCCAGCCCATCACAAGGTGTGTTGTCTACGGTGGGCAAAATCTAAAGAAGGTAAACTGCAGACATTTCTTTTGGTGGTGCGGGGGTGATATCCCAGGGCACCCAGAGGGATGAGTACCCAGGGGTGAACCTCCGTACACCGGGACTATGCGACTGCGCGGCCTTTGCCTTTGCCCCCGGTATCCACAGTCCAGACACCACCACATACATGAACCAGAAAGGCCCGCTCTTGAGCAAGGGCACATACAACTTGGGATTCCAATACACAAGTTCAGGAAAGACCTGCCTGGCTGTGTTAGCTGAGTGCCCTGGGAGAGGGAATCGGGGCACATCATAGGCGTTTCCAAGCATGCCGTGTTGGCAACTTCCAAAGCTTAAGGGCTTCAACTTGGCTCCTTACATATTCTGAGGGGCCAGCCCATGTCCTGATACTTGCGAATGCCGGAACAGGTGCCTGGGAGCATCCGCAGACCCGGAATACCTGGTTATGGAGAAGGCTGACTTCCGGAAAGCCTGGCCTGCCTGGCGCTCAGAAGGTTCACCCTTGGGCTGGTCCTTCAGAAGGAACCCCACTGGAAGCGATGCTCCCTTCAAGGGAGGTCCTATGAGAACCAGCTGGCGTTTTAAGAGCAGTCCTTAAAATGTCCGCGGCTGCATTTTCTGCCCAGTTTCCACGTATAAGAATAACTGTCTAGGAATCTGGTGCCGATTATTCAAAGCACTGAAGATCATTTTCCAGGAAGATCTGGAAATGGTTTATAATTGGATGGTAGATGATCTTCTACCTCTTAAAATAGCTTCATTTCACGAAGAGAACATTTGCCACCGAGCCAGGCTCTGCGCTATTTTCACATATTCTGTATGTACAAATATTTGAACTGGACATGGATGTAAAACATCCAGTGGGCACGCATGCAAACCCACCCCATGTGCCAATACGCTCGGGAACGCTAAGTGGTGGTGGGCGCAGTGCTTCCGACCTGGGCCCTAGGGGAAGGGTCAGCCTATCCGAGGACACTCACCACGAGCTGCTTCATGCACCTGCAGGGGCTGAACCCTCAGGAAACAGATGGTGGTCTGTCCCCTGGGCCTGTCCTTCCTCCAGCACCTCCCAGCAGTCACCCCACAGACCAAGGGAGGAACCCACTGCTGTGATGCCCACAGTTTGGCCAGAGGAGGCTCTAGGAGGGTGGGGGGGAGCCTATTTTGGCAGCTCTGGGTCCAGCTTCCCAAAGGCACTTTGGCATCCCTGAGCCCCACGACCCAGCCGATAACTCAGGCCGTGGACCCGCGCTCACCATCTCGAGACATCCCGACGGCAAGGCATTTCTGTAATCGACAGTGCTGGCACCGGTTCCGACTAGTCCGATCGATCAAACAGTTCTTCTGCCGCGGACAGGAGTAGGTGGCATTGCTTTGCTGACTCCTTCGGAAGAAGCCCTGTGGTTTGGTTATAAAACACGAAGCAGGTTAGTGTCCGTTTGGGCCGTGCTGCCCTAAAGACCGGGTAGGACACACTGAGCAGCATTAATATTTAATGGAGAATTAAACTTGTAGCAGAACCGTGCAGGAGACCATTAATGAAATTAAAGCCACTTCTTTCGCCTTCAGTAAAATGGATCCCTGGAGCCCAGTCCTCCGGTCCCTGACACAGGCAAAATCTTCCCGAACATCAACAGACAGGTACCTCTGTCCAAGGCACAGGGTTAGGCCCTTTCCGCGGCTTCCGCTGGGCAAAAAGAACATGCTGGTGGCAGGGCAGACAGGGGCCTATCCTGAACTTTCATCTCCAAACCATTTTTTAAAATAAAATAAACACAGGGCACTTCTCTGCTCCGTCAGAGGTGCTGGACGTCAAGCCGCTCCACCATCCAGGCACAATGGGAGTCTTGACTGCCCTCTTCAACCACCACCCCTCTGGGCGCCCTGTGGAGGCAGCCGGGTGGTGCAGTGGTTAAAGTGCTCAGCTGCTAACGGAAATAGCCAGGAGCTTGCACCCTCCAGCTGGTCCGTGGGAGACTGGTGAGATGGCCCACTTCCACCAAACTGCACTGCCTTGGGAATCCAAGAGGGCGCTTCTACTCTGCCAGCCGGGGGCTCGTAGGAGGTGGGAGCACCCTCAACAGCAGGGGTGTTATGGACACGAGCCGACTTCAAAACAGTGGGAAAATGGAAGGACAACAGGGTGGGGATCCCCTACTCACCTTTTGAAGCCCTCTCATGTCTGTATGTGTGTATACAACGACAATTCCCCCCCAAAATAAAGAGATGTAAGCAATACAACTCGGTGCTCAGTAACCTCCTTGTGTGGAATGTGGGCACCGTTTGGGAAAGGAGAGGGCAAGCCAAGATAGCCAAGGTCCAGCTACTGCTCGGAAGGTTGTAGTTCATGCCTATCTTTCTCTGTTTCGCTCACTTGTGCTGAATCTTCAGTTTCATTCTGTTGTTAAAATGATCAAGGATCTTTTTGGCTAAATTTCAGCTGGAACCCACAGGTTTTTCTACATAGGTTTCGGAATACATCATTTGGAAAAGTCTATAAATGATCTTTCAGAATTACAATTATTGATGTAGAAAAGCGAAAAAGAAAAAAAAACATAGACACCCGAGTTAAAAAAAAAAAAAAAGCATGCTAAGAAGCTGAACATACTACAATTCAATTCCTGGGTGGGAGATTAACCCGGAAGAAAGTCTGGAAGTTATGGCCCCCCAAATGGCTCTGACTGGTTGTACCCAGGATGATTTCCATTTTTATTTTACCCGTGCTTTCTGACTTTTCCACAGCCCGAAGCAAGATACGGACATGTGTCCTACACGCATGTGGAACTCACACAGTATGTGTGTCCCAAGGGAAGAGCCAGCTAGAACATCTGCTTTCTCCGCTGCTGGTGGTGGGACTCTGAGCGGGTGACCGTCTCGGCCTCAGTTTCCTGGACTTTCCAAGGACGGAAGTGGGAGTCCCACCATCACATGGCCGTTGTCAAGATGAGATGGTGCCTCGCCCAGGGAAAGCGCTCCTTCAAATGCATGGCTCATCATCATCAGAGTGCAGGGCACTGATAGCATTCTCTCTCTCTCTCTCTTACACACACACACACACACACACACACACACACACACACACACACACGAAGCTGCGGTTCGCTTCCCCTCAGGCAAGAAGACCAGGGGTCCCGGGGCCTTAGGCGACCTCCACTGCACTTTCAATCCATCCACCATCAGGTCCCGCTTTCTCTGTGAGACAGTCTCTCTCTTCCCCAAATAGCTACAGCCGTGTTTCCAGACGTTTTTGTTTATGGATTTATTTTTTCCCCCCCTTTGAAAAGGAAGTGGAAAGAAGTAGAGATTTCTTCAGGACTTAGCGTGGAAAAGCCAAGAAAAGATCAATGTAAGAGAGGCTGATGATCCTTAGCGAGGGCTACCGAGCAGGCACCTGTCTGGGGATTCATTTTGGTCGGAGGCACCTCATCCGGGCCGAAGCCAAGAGGTGCTCAGCTCTTTCTTGGAAAGCTGCCTTCACGCTGACCCTCTCTGCTTCCTGTCGTGGGCTGTGCAGAGCGGGGCCTGGGATCAGGCAGGTACTTGCTCTTCTTGCCGCTGACCTTGAATTCCGCTGGCTTCACATTAAGCTGTGTCTGCTGTGCTCCAGGGCCACTGAAGAGGGAGAATGTCCCCACAGCGTCTTTCTTCCTCTGAATGGAACCGCGCCGTGCGGCTCTCACCCATTTCCCCGAGATCTCTCCTGCAGACGGAAGCACAGCTTCCACCACCCTTCCTTCTGCATTCTCTCCCACCTTGAGGGTTTCTCTTCAGGATCCTTTTTTTGAGAAGAGAAATTGTCTTTCAAGAATATAAAATAGGAGAAAACCAACCAGCCCCCTGCCACCCCCAAATGGACACAGCGGTGAATAATGGTGGGGGTCAAAGAATGCTACTTTCTAGTTTCCATGTATGAAGGGGGTTCCAAAAGTTCATGAAAACTGGAATTCAATGATAATAGAATTTTACCACAGGAGCCCTCGTGGCATATTGAGAAGCCCTAGTGGAGCAGTGATTACGTGTTGGGCTGCTAACAGCAGGCTCAGGACTTCGAAACCACCAGCTGTTCCGAGGGAGAAGGGTGAGGCTTTCTACTCCCGTGAAGAGTGAGAGTCTCCGGAACCCACAGGGCCGTTCTCCCTGTCCCACGGGGTGGGCCTGTTTCTTCAGCTTCATGCGGCTCGACTGTAGGGTCACGACGATCAGCATCCACTGGGCAACAGTGAGTGGGGAGTTTTGGGGCATTTTCCTAGGAGCTCTCTGAAGCCCCTTTGCTGTAAACTCAGGTTAATACCCAACCACCCCCAAGGAAGTTCCAGGATGTTGGCACAGAGGCCAGAGCCACCCACTAGTTTGCTCCGCCCGGGGGCACTCTGAGCTGGCTCATGGAGGAGGAGGACACAGCATTTGAAGGAACGCTCTCTCTCTGGGCGAGGCAGACTGTGCCATCTAATATTGACAACGGCAGTGTGACGGCGGGACTCCCACTCCCCTCCTTGGAACGCCGAGGAGACTAAGGCCCAGACGGTCACTCCCTCTCAGTCCCACCTGAATGAGCCCCGGGGTGAGCTGACGGACATTGGCCCTGCTCAGACCCTGGGCAAAGGGCACACCTGCCTCCTGAACCAGGCTGGGTCATTCGACAAGTCCAGTCTGCCGATTCCACTTCCTCTCCTTCCTGATCAGAAGCCTTATGGCCACTCTAGTTCTCGCGAGTTGACTTTGGTTCATTTATCATAAATAAATAAATATGATTATTTACTTTTTAACCCTTTTAAGGGCCACATATTTTCTGCTCTGAATTTGTTGCTGAAGCCATGGTGTTTTACAGTAAGGCTGAGTTAGTTAATTGTGCCAGCCTGGCCGATAATCACATGTGG